CAGGGATCCCTGCTACTTGGATTCCTGAATAGAAGGCCTGCCATCACACAACCTCTTGGACAACTTAATTTACCCTGGTCCTACAAGATGGCTTTGTGTCAGCAAATATTCATGGGGAACACTACAAACACAGATGAGGGTAATCAGTGTCATACTTCAATTACCATATTTTTTGCCAGAAACTGTATCTGTGGCAGCTGTGCTGCAGTGACTCCTTGTAAGTCTTCCCATTCAGGCAGCATTAAGGCTGTGTTGCTGAGACAGAGGCTGTACTATTCAGAGGGGGACCCACTGCAGGAGAAATTCAAGAAACTGACTGAGACTACCTGCCTAACTGTTGACTGGAAAGAACCACCAATGTTCCCCGTGTCCTGGTCAATCCTTTGCTTCATGTTGAACTAAGCATTAGGAAAGTCATGTAACAGCGGGGAGGCGTTTTCACGAGTATCAAGCACTTTTGGTACAAGTTATTGGTTGTGGAGGGACTGATAAAAAGTGAGCAGGCTTTGATGGATGGCAGCACAGCACAGTCTTAGACAGCTCTGTCTGATGGAGCAACGAAAATACGCGCCAGTGACGATCTAAACAACAGGAGAAAAAAAAGGGCTAATGCTGTCAGACACATATGACTGCTGAGGAGAAAAGCTATCTTGTAATACCAAGTACAAAGAAATTCAATAAGTTCACTTTGAGCATCAGAACATATTGCAGAACAAACTATCCATAGAATGTGGCAGCACAAGGGAATAAATGTAATCACAAAATAGTCAATAAGACAGAGTGAAAATATAAAATAAATGCTATGCAGGAGACAAATGCGGAAATATTGTTAGTGCCACTAAACAACGGAGCACTTAGTGTCTTTCACAAGCAAAGCACAGAAAAAACATTTTGCATTCTTCTGAAAAACTCGTGTTGACGTAAAATGAGAAGAATACAGAAACCAGCTTTATATCAAGGTTCAGGCTATGACTAGAGTATACTCTAGAATGGTCTTGTATTTTATGAGTTGTAGCTTGAAAAGCTATAATAAATTCTGGCCACAAAAAAATGGCAGAAGCAGAACAGTGGAAACAACAGAAGTTCCAGTTGGGAAAGATTTGGAAATGAACATTAGGCTTCTTGTTGAATTTGAGCAAATTTCTCAAATTCAGAGAATCTCAAGGAAAAGTTTCTTTTAATTTTGTTAAAATAAAAAAATCTGAGTGTTTCATTTATACAGCTGTATTTAGCTATATCTTATTTAAGCACACTCATATAAAAAAACCTTCAAATTAACTTAAAATTTAAAATATTTTGGTCTTAGATGGAAGAGTATCAAAGGGACACTGTATTACTTGATTATAGAAAGTGTTCCCAGGTAATTAAAGTAATATATCAAGGGAAGTTTAGGGTGAAACTATAGAAGTTAATTCTATCAACACGTTCCAGCAACCACCTATTTACAAAATTCATGCCTGACTAGGGAGAGTATAATGCTAGGGCTGCATTACTGACCACACAATGGAGATTTTGACATAAACACCACAGGGTAAGTGAAATTACATTGGCTGTGCAGAGAGCTTACACAATAATGCAAAATTTCATATGCTCCAACACATGCGGCATTAAATTGGGAAGTGACAAAAGAAATGAAGATTTTACATACCATAAATTAGTGCTGCTTGTAGCAAGTAATCAGACAACCCACAAGAAGAGAAGCTGATTTGGCTCTGAGTAGTACATATGACCCAATTCAAGAAATATTTATCAGAGAAACAATTCTGGACTGAAAGTCAACATACTTTTTGAGAAGGAAAAGGAATTAAAAAAAAAAAAATCCACTGCAGTAATACTTAACTTTCAGAATGTGCGCAAATAAAAATGAGGAAGTTAGTTAAAAGAAAAATGAAAAGAACAGCTAAAAAGATTTAAAGCAAACAGCACGGAGACAGACTAGAGATAAAGTGTATGAGACTCAGAATAATCATATATAACCCGCCAATTTTGTAAAAAAAAATTATATAAATCAACTATCTTATAAACAAAAAAAACCCCAACATCCAGCCCAAAACAGCAGAATGAAGCAGATTTTGGAAAGACACTCTTCAAAAGTGTAAATCAGTCATCTAAATGGAAAAAGATTGGAAAAAAAAGCATAAAATCTGTCAAGTTAAACATAAACTACAGTATTTTGAGAATCCACCTGCTACAGACATAGAAGTTAATAATTCTTTTTCGTTAAAATAATTGCACTAGAAGCAGGAGGCCTCCCAGAGAGATGTTTGGGTAGACAGGCAATCAAGGTACAAAAGTACTGAATACTAAATTAATTGTTTTTACTGATGTTCACAACAAAGAAAGTTTGAGAGATTCTCACAGTCTGAGGAAGTTTCTCTATATCTATCATCATCTGAAGGTGTTTTAGAAGATGTAAGTAATATTGAACAATAAGAATTGCCATAAGGTGATGTTCACCCAAAAAGTGTTTTAATGGAACTCAAATATGACATTTCTGAACTAATTACTGCAACATGGAACCTGTCACTTATGTCAGCCTTGATGCCAGAAGAAAAGTTTTAACTGTGGCACAGTCTTTAAAAAGGGCTCAGGGGCCGATTCCTGTAATAACAAACTATAACGCAGACAGTTTTTATGCCATTGTAAAGTGTCCATGTTCTTCTCACGTCTAAATATCATGTGTAGTTTTAGCCTCACCAAATAAAAAACAGAACCAAAGAGAGCGAGAAAGCACAGATGACCAGAGATGTGGTGTGGTTTTATACATGATAAGATTAAATAGTTTAGGACTTGTTATTTAGAAAATAGGTTGGAGGACTGGACATGTCAAGTCTATATAATCACAAATGGTATAATGGACGTAAATAGCGATGCACTATTCTCTGCTTCTTTGTATCTAAGGACATACAGGCTCAACCATACAAAAACGTTTAAAGCAATCAAAAGGAAACACCTTTCACTCATTGTGTCATTAAAACGTGAAATGTATTGCACAAGATGTCACTGAGATCAAGCTTATGACAGCTGGATCTCTCTCTGTCCAGCAGCTAGCAACCACTGCAGATAGGATGGAGGGCCTAGCTCAGAAAGCCAGTTTATTGCTGGCAACCAGGAAGGCGAAGAAGAAATCCTTCACACTTCTTCCTGTTTGCCACAAATTCCTGCTGCTGATGACTGCTGAAGTCAGGATTTGAGGGTAAAGTGGAGCATTCGTCAACTCAAACAAGGTTACATTTTCATGACGCTATCATAATCATAGTAATAATAAAAAAACAGAAAAGACGGCAAAATGTTTTAATTTTTGATGGAACTGTATATCTGATGGAATTGATAATGTTGGAAGTTGTTTTAACGAGCTTCACGCATCTTTTCAGTAGGCACTAATTCCACTGTTCCATCTGGTGTGTGCTCAACTGATTGGAAATGATGTAACTGACAAAGCAAGCTGCATTTAGAAAGATCCCTGTTTTCATGTTCAGATGTATCTTGTCACTAGTTTACATGATTGCTGGGGTAGCAGCTGCATTATATGTACATATAAAAATTTATATATGTGTCTACATATGTATGTATGTGTTTATATGTATATATATAAAATACATACATAAATAAAACCAACCATCTCACCATTTTTTCCAAACATACCTTTAAAGTATTAATTCTGAGAGCCGCGCTCATTTTTTATATATTTTTTATATAAGTGAATATTCTTACAAAATGTTTTTGCCCTGCTTTTTGGAAGTTCTTTTTTTTCTGCTCAGTAAGAATTTTATCATAGTTTCATGCCCCCACACCTCACAGTTTGTTACTTGTTCTATTACTCTCACATTTAACTTGATAAGGTCCTGCTTCCTATGATATTAATTTTTGAGTTTTGATTCTTCACAGCTGCTGCTTTGAAGTCTTAGATAACATTCCGAGCATTGCACATTGCTCCTGTTTTTAAACTTTTCATCCATCTGCAGTACATAGCTCTATTTCTCCCGAATAACTTTTCAGTAAATTGTTATATTCCAATATTCTAAAATGAATGTTTTGCTTTTAATCAGGGCAAAACTGTGGACTCTCTACTTAAAAGAAGCTAGTAACTTCCATGAAAAGGTTTTGTGATTTATCTTCATCTTCTTCAATCCTTTCTTCAAAGGAATTTAAGTCTGTTACTCAGTTCTGGAGAATTCTGAATCATTGTGTATTTCATACATGCATGAAAGGAAGAAATGATGCTCATACCTGTCTTTGTGCCCTCTCTTCCAGCACCATTTTCTTTTTGACCCAGTCCTGTCCAGGACCAGGAAATGCAGCTGTCAATAACTTCCTTTGGATAATATGAAAGTATGCTGGAATAGTGAGTATATGTGTTGTTGAATGGCTATTAGCTGGAAACCAGCAGATATAAAGACTCACGTTTTGCCTTCGCTTTCCCCCTTCAGTACTTATAGTGACCTAAACGAGTGTATGTGAATCTGGACTGCAGGTCAACATCAGGTACAAACTTACTTTACAAACCTTTAGATCTTTATTAATTGGAAAAATTTGGTCTAAGATTTTTTAACTTTCTAAAATAGCCAAACAATGAGCAAGGACCTCATGTCACACATTGAGCTGAGACTGTTTTGAATCTCGAGGCAATAAGGATGTATGAATGAAGACCTGAGGGTGCCATGGCTGGAGCAGTACTGCAGATATTCCTCCTGGTTTCTCTCCTCTGTGTGTGCTTTTTATGTGAAGGGTCCTAATTTTTTCATTCCTTAGACCTTTCTGTGCATTGTCCAGGGATTTGCCTATGGACATAAACATGCAGTTCTCATGCAAATTACTTACAACCACGTGAGAGCACAGATGATGTACACTTACAAATAACACAATTTGATTTCTTGTCCAATTATATGCACTGGGTCATAAAGAAATGGCAAACGTTTGCCAGCATCAGCCTCCTTCAGAGTCACAATACAGGGCAGAATTCTAATAATGAAATATCCTTCTTACACAGAACTACTTACAGATATTAGCAGTGCCCTTAGGTATAGGCAGATAAGACCCAGGGCTCCACGGTCGGCCCTGGTAATTCTTCTTGCATTTTCCACAGTCTGGGCCAGTTGTGTTATGCTCACATTCACAAAGTAGTCTTTTGTTTTCTTCTTTACAGCCAGTAGCGTGGAGGTTGCACTTACACCTATTTTTAAAAGGCAAAAAAGAAAAAAAAAATAGGGGCATTATTTAGAGGTGAGTTAAGTACAGATTAAGGCTTAGTAAAGCATGTCCTATGGCAACCACTCTATTTCTGTGTGTTGTGCCTGTATTATTGTTTTAGCATGCTCTACAATACATCATTCAAATAGCATGTTGTAATATCTTCGGCTCGCACAGGTCTAAAAGCAGTCTCCAAGATGCTGAATCCTTTCTTGTTTTCACTAATGCAGCTCCACTGAGACCAACTAAATTATTCATAATTTTCACTACAAACAGGTCTATAATCTTGCAGAAATTCAAGACTTACTGCTCCCAGGAACAAAACAAGTCCTCTGCTTATGTCCTTAGAGAATCTGTCCCAAATTAAGATCCAAATTAGGCCCTGGGAGTCTGAGAAAACAGACTTCAATTAAATATTCTCTGCAATGCCACACTTCAGTAGAAGGGAAGCTTCCTATAATGGTGTTTTGCCATTCTTGTTCAGCAAGTATTCTCTTGCTCAGAAAGGAAAATTCTTTTGCGTGCTTTAATTTGATATAGTTGTAGCAGCTGAAGGTCAGAGGAAATATTTTGGCAGGCACATTTAATTTTACTTTGGAAAGAACACCTGATCAAACCTTGTGACAGAATTGTTAGATAAACCACTTCCTGCATCTGGTCTGAGAATAACTGCACCTCTTTCCATCCCTTTCCAACAGATGTCAAAATCAACTAAAATCTGTTTCTGTTTGGGGCTGGAGACAAAACTAGTATTTAACGACCCTGTCTATTTGTTTTCCTAATGATTGTACATGTAGTGATTTAAAGGGTTCTCATGTGGCTATTTGTCACCTGTTTCATACACTGACCAATAATTAGAGCAAAACAACACATGGAATGGCCAAGTGCAAATTAACAGCTGTCAAGCTGACTTCCATTTGGAAGGAATATGACCTGAAGCAACTGGCCACATACATATATATCCCCAGGGTAAAAAAAGCTTGCAGTTGTCATAAGTGGCTGCTGGAGAAAACCCACAAAAATCTGTAATACAGTAGATAGTGGAACATTCTCTTCAGTGCTAGAAATGAGGCAGATGAAACTGCTGTTATTTGAGCAATGCTCATTCTAAAGAAAAACAGGTTCAGCACTTTTTACATTGAAATTATCAAAATGTATTGAACATGCTAGACAAAAGAAAGTGTGATTCATTTTTATATAATTTCCAGAATATTGATGCTTAAAGACTACATCAATTGTAAAGTAAACTTTAAATGACTAGCCACTGCAGAATGAAAGATGCCTGTCTAGATGTCAGTAGATGAGACATGCCTATTCATGGAGAGACTGAAGATTTTGGTAAATGGCACTGCTATTAAGAAAAGTGATGGGTGGTTTTACTGTCCGCAGGAATATGAAAATGGAGACCCCCAAACAGGAGAGATACACGATGGTGAGAAGACCAAAAAACAGAGAGAGTCAGAGGAGAAAGAAGCGGGAGAGACTATAGAGTCACTAGAATAAATAAGAGAGAGGAACCCATTGGGTTTCTTCAGGGGGAGATTTCTGTTTTACTGGAGGGATTCATCAGTGTCAGACACAGTTCAAGACACAGATCAAGGCAGGAAGAAAAAACCAGCTGATTCTGAGGAAAAGCTGCAGTTCCTAGGGCTGTGAAAGGGTGCTGCAGACTGGTAGGGGAACTGAGGTAGGGGAAAATAAATGTAAGTACCTCTGCTAATTGGTGTAAATGTGCACATCACTTTTAATAAGCACCTGAAAGTAAAGAATGGTTGTGTCAGAAAACCTTGTGCAAAGTCTGTTTACACTTAGATGCTATACTTGTCATATGTTCCTGAAGAGATAAACTGTTTATCTTTATTGTGAAGAAATAGACTCAATTTTGCTTGCATGGTTAAGTTCTTGGGTGAGCTCTGGCTGTCTTCATCTCCCTCTGCTTTTATCCAGTCCTGTCCCGTGCCTCTTCGTATATATACAAAACATATACACACACAAACAATTCCCATAAATTCACATGCATATTCATCAATTTCCTTTTATTTCCCACATTCTCTAACTTCACTGTGATCCACCTCTTCATAAGTTGCCTCCTTCTTTTCCTTATTTCCCAGGCAAGAGAGCATGGACAACACAAAATAGCTCTGCTGCCTGTTCTGGTGCCCAGTTTTTTAATTTCTTAGGGCAAGCTTACTGCAGAGGAAGTGCTCCTCAGCCCGGAGCTGAGGCATCATGCCATAGTAGATGTTCTGTGGTCCACACAGCAGGGCCCACACAGTACACCAGTGGGCAGGGTTTCTGCAGAAGGCATCTTCTGTGATTTTATCCACCAAGCTCCAACAGACAAAGGAAAACTACAGATTTTGGAGGTCTATGTTTATACCAAATATGGGCAGGTTTTCACAAAAAAAGTAAAATGCATTTTCTTGTGGAAGTAGTTGGGGACCTTGTGTCAAATTTTAAAACCCTATTAACTGAGATTTAAAACAATCAGCCCTCACACAGGCATTCAGAACAAACACACACAAATCAGACAATGTAGGGACATCCTAGCCACTTAACTTTCTAAATGGAGGAACTGCTAAATGACTCTTCCTGCTCTAAACCAGAAGAATAATCACAGATTCATTCAATGTGTCTCTGCAAATTAACCTATTTGGATGTTTTATAAGTATTTTTTAAAGCCTTCCCAGCAGAATCCCCCAGAATGCTGCATCCTGCCTGGAAGAAAATTTCAGATAATTACCATGTTTAAGAGAAAGGAGAGCAAAAATTCTACTCTCCTAAATTACTCCCCCCCCCCAAAAAAAAACAAAAAACACCCACAAAAAAACCCCACCAACAACAGGGAGAGAGGGAGAGAGGTGTAGCCTTCTAGGAGTATGATTTAAAGTGAGAAAAAACTAAATTTGATCACTGAAAAACATAAAGAACTGATCTAAAATCTTTATGGTCAGAGGATAGTCGAAACCTAGCATTAACAGCTGAGCAAAAATGAGTCAACAATGCTGAATAATCCTGAAAACCCTCACAATAATTCTAATTTATCTGTGTAGACTTTCCAAGGAGAAGAACATAAGGAACAAATGTGGTCACTGTGGTTTTCTACAAGACTAGCTAAAGATCAAAGATCAACGTAAAAAAATACAATTATATTAAAATTGTCAAATCTAGAGTTAATGAGACCTAGTTAAAGTGGGCACAAAATAACTGTTCAAAAAAAAACCCCAAACCACAAAAGGTCAGACAATGTGTGGCAAAAAAACATTACCTTTGCCTTCTTAGTGTATAGGCAACATAAAAGTTGGGTTTGGTTTATGATCATTAGTGTTATACAAATATGAGCAAATCTGTGGATTAATGAAATCTGAAGAGATTAAACTGTAGTTCTTGTTGGTGTCAGTAACTATACATATGGAGTAAAAGAGCAGGAGCATAAGCAGAAGAAAAACATTCAGAGGACTGAATCACAGAGGTTCTAATTCTCTTCTCACTTGCACCAATTTTTTGCTGAGGTCACTCCACAGATCTCAGAGAGATTAATCATGATTTCCACAGCAAATCAAGGACGTAGCTGAATACTGAATGAGTGTAAAATGCAGAAGTGCTAAAACTGAAAGAGAACAAAAAGCATCCATGGAAAGCAAACTGAATGTAAGTTTGGAGGGTACCATGTCTGGGGAAAAACAAGCCAATACCAAATTCTGTGCTATATGAGGAGAGACATTTTTTCTGAAACAGGGAAATAATATTTTGTATACTTCTGTTTTTTTTAGGAAGGCCGCGTTAGGAACTGGGCAATCTGTCCCAGGGATCTAATCAGAGTGTATGTATGGGCAATCTCAGAGACTTCTGCAAAGAAGAGAAATGCCTGTTGTGCTTGAGGGACAGATTTCTCTGGATGAATGAAAGAGGTAAATGTGCATAGTGGGGCTGAGAGATGGCTGGAGTACAATAAAAAGCTATTTCTATTTGCAGGATAAGCACTAAGGAAAATTGAAATATTTAAGGTTACAGAAAAAAAGACTATTTAGGTAGAAGTACCATCCAGACGGACCATGAGAGAACTATCTTGTGATGAGATATACTGGATTGTAAGCAGTGTGAAAACAAAGCAGCAGAGCTTGGACATGAGGCAGTTCAGATAACTGTGAATCAGCTGAGCACCACTGATCTGGCAGCAGACTTGGGCTTCTATCAGATCACTGTCAGGATGTGGACATCAGTTTGGTATGGAAGATTGCCCAAGTTCAGAGCCCTTCATATGTCTCATCTCTTTTTTAAGGAAGATTACCTTTCTTTTCTGCTCTAGAGGTAAGGAAATATTTTGTTACCTTATGTGAATATCCCTGACAATAAATTATTGCTGAAAATCCTAGGTACCATTTGTAATTTCTTTAAACATTTGCTTTGAAAGGCTGTTCCTAGATGTTACTGCTTTAAATCAGGTATGAGATTTAAATGAGATAGTAATAAAAGGCTTAACTATATTTACCTACAAAGCACATTAAACACAAAATTTCGTGTAGCTCTTGTAGATGCTTCCATTAGATGAATGCTGTCACTTTGGCTGCATGTGTAAAAATGGAATAGTTCTGAAAACCTAAAAAACTGCTTCCACATCCTGTGTACTGAGTTCCAGATGACGGTATTTCATGCCTATGTAGTTTCTCAAAATCCAAAGAAAAATGTCAAAAAGTGCTTTACAAAGGTATTAGGTACACATGCCCAGAAATGCATTTACTGGGTAGCAGTGGGTGGGTAGCAGCTGCTCGGCACATCAAGTGGGTTTGCATGTGTACTGAGAAGGGACAATTGAAGGAGTTGTAATAGGTAGAGCAGGTTTGAGAATACAGGTTAAGGTATTGATGCCATGAAAAGCTGGAGTTGAAGACTCAATAGTCAGAGGGCTATTAAGCAGGTATTCTTTATTGTGACGCCGGGCACATAGGGGATCTCTCCTCCAAACGTGCGCGCCAAACACCC